TGAAAGACAGAGATTCAGCAGAGCACAGCACCTCCTACTTCTGGTGAACCAACTGGTATCTGCAGTTTTTGGGGACCAAGCACCTCACTAGAAACAAGTCTGGGGAAATCTCTGCAGAGATGAACTATCCTGGGACTAGTACAGAGCAGAAGCATCTTCCTCACTCAATCCTGGATCAGGCAAATCTTTGTGAGCTGCAGAGTACTCAGAGCCATTGCATGGAGGGCTGCTATGGAGATACTGAAGAACAGACTTAAGGACCTGACTTTAAGCAGTCTCGTTTCAAAGAAGTAGTGACTTCTCTTCCCACTTTAATCTAAATATGTATATTATATCACACAGCTTGATCTATCTCTGTTAGGGTGCTGCATATGATGAAGATATCTGTGGACTTATCTGCACGTGAGCAGTCAGAAAATTTAAGATTAATTAAATCATGTGATGTGGATGAGAACTCAGGCACATGGCTGAACCCAATTGAATGATGGTGGCTTAAGCACCATCTATCAGCTTAGTCAGAGACTGTCTGCAGGTACCTTCCAAGCCCACCCCAAACAGGAAAGAAAATGCACCAGCTTAAACCTCTTTCACTTTAAGCTCCTGTAACTAGATCACATTTGATTATACATGCATGAATCCTAACTCAAAATGCATTAAACTCTTCTGTGGATACTCTTATTCAGAAATAAAATTATATTAGCTCACCTAGGAAAAAATAAAGTTGCAGAAAATTATAAGGCCATTTTATTCAAGGTGACAGCATTCACAGAGGTGTTTACTATTCTGACTTTTTTCTTCACTGAGCATCACCATGTAATGTTTCCTAGGAAAATTAGATACAGTAATGTCGGGAGGATCCTAGCAGACATCCCACATTTTTCTACCTGGACCACTTATAGGAAGTTCAGTTTAGTGTACCTGGCTGTCATTCTCCAGGGCACGTGCCATTGCCATGCAGTTACCTCTAGGATGTGCAAACTGAGGATCTGCCCTACTACCATCAAGCAGTAACTCCACTTTGTCAGAGTTTAAATGAGGACACATTTAGGGCAGTAAAACACTGGATCTTACTGCTCTTCTTGTCTCTGCCAGAGAGCTTGCCTGCTTTTTTCTCTCTTCCCTATTCACAAGCTCAGTCTACAAAAACGTTTTCTGGAATAAAAAAGTTCCAAAACATGTTGCAGGAAAAGCAGCACAGCAAAACGAAGTAAATAATTCAAACCAGCAGCTACAGGCAATGGGATTGACTCAGGGACAAAGCAACTCTGAGCCTGCAGTCTCGGTAGGCCCCCGAATGCCCTCTCGCGGCAGTGGGATATTTCACTCCCCATGCTCACAGTTTGGACACTGCGATGCTGGAAATGTGGAGTGAGACAGCAACCATTTTTCTATGTTCGTTTTCTCCAGGATACATTCATTTAGCAACAACAGTAATGATTTATAGTTATGCATTTTTCAAATCCACTTCCAGTAGCTCATAATCTTTTCTGTATAAAGACTAATCATTCAGATTTATTATCCTTTGGTAAGCTTATACAAGAAAATAAAAAATGCATATCTTTTGTGAGGAGAAGGCTATACTTTCATAAGATCCTCTATATTTCAGAATACAAACCATATCACAACTATGTCATGAAGCTACACCACACAAGCCTTACTCTTATTAGCCAAATTCCTAGCACTAAGAAGCAAATTTAAAGTAATATCAGAGGGAAGGGATTGCTTTTTCTCTGTATGCATTTGTCCCTCACTGGTCTCTCTCCAGGCACAGACATAATTTTACACAGCTTTTGCTACTTCTGCCTCATGTGGTCTGACCTTTGAAGTGATGACTCTGTTTGTGAGTGACCTAATATTTTGTTAGGCACTAAAAGTAGTTTTAGGTGAGATCCAGAGGAAAAAAAAGTGCTTAAATAAGTGAAAGCAGAACTGTTTTTGAGTGGCTAAGATATTATAGAGGGCTACAGAGAAATCCTCTCTCCTTGCCTTGGAACTCCAGTCCTCTGTTCACTCTACAAGCTACCATATCATAGTTTCAAAAACCAGAGATGATCTATTTTATTATTTTTTCTTTGACAAAAATGTGGTTTCCTGGAGCAATTTTGCTGTGACAAACACTCTCAAGAAGACGACAGCTCTGTTTGGGATAAGAGATTATTTTAATGGATTCTTACAATCCTCTTTCTAAGAAGTCTGTTTGTTTGCTTCCCAGACATGTTATTGGACAGTAAAGTCTTTCGGAAGACATGACTGATAAAAAGGTCAAGATTTCCTAGGATCTTTTAATGTTTTCCTTTATTCTTTCCACCACCAAGGAGAATTTATTGGTGACCGTCTCTTTGGGCTAAATAACGCTTTCTTCTGAATCCCTCAAAGCTACACTTAAACTAGATAGAAGCTGATTTATATCTTCCCTGATTATATGCAAAATAGAAAGACTGCTATGCTGAGATGTCTTTGTTGAGTTGCATGTTGAAGGATAGCAAATTTTGATTGGAAGGTCAGATTTTGTTTGGAATATACTAGAAGGAGTCAATATACAGACATCAGGGGGGAAAAAAAGTGTAATCCGAAATTCTGCAAAGTTCTTTAAGAGATTGAGAATCCAATTCCAGCCCAATGGAAGCTGAGCCCAGGTGCACTTTGGAAAGGACTACAAAGATACATATGCAAAATGTGGATATCTAAAACTGTAAGTGGCTTTGAAAATATGAAATCATGGATCTAAATCTCCTAATCTGTTTTGAAAACTTCAAATATAATGATAGCTAATGTAACAATTTACACTCTTTCTCCAGGGCTGCTTATCCAGTAGACTCGGAAATTGCAACTATTTACATTCACTAGTTCACCCTCATAAAGTGAAGCACTAGACAATTTTACTTTAACCAGGAGTTTAAATTCTGTATCAGACAAAACAAACCTTAAAGAGCAAATAAACCAAGCAGGTTTCTACTGCCCATATGCTGCCATCCATATGCTACTGCCCATATGACTCTGCCTGTCAAGAAAACATGCTTCACTCCTGGCACCTCAGGTCCAGAGAAAAAGAATATCGTAGATCTGATGGCAAGGCTGTCAAAATGGCTATAATTCACTGCAAATTCAGGCTAGGGCCACAGGGGCTGTTTCCTACCCTCCTGCTGTCATTGAACATGGACTCAGAACATTCACAGACTCTTACTGAGCCCTTTTTTTCTGTAAATAAAGTAGCAATAAAGGCCTCTTCTCTCACAGGAAAGTTAGGAGAAAAAATACATTAAAGTTGTCAAGATGCATGGGTAGGAGAGGTCCTCAGAAGTCCTGGAGGTAGACTAGGCAGTGCTTACCTGTACTACAGTTGGTTCCGTGGGCAGCTGAGGATCATTAAGTCTGTCCCGTCTGTAATTTAATGCAGGGTGTGGGCCATTTCCATACTGACACTCAAAACAGGAACCTGCGTCACAGCCCAGATCCAGAAGATACTTCAGCACAGAAAGGTACTTCATCGAAAACATGATGGTAGCTGGAAATGCAGTGGGATGGCTTGATATATAGGCATCAATGTTTGCTCCATGGTCAAGGAGCAGTTTCATGGTCTTCAGGCAGCCGTGGCGGATGGAGATGAGTAATGGGTTGATGAGGTCAACATTGGGGTTGGCTCCAGCTTGCAGCAGGACTTCTGTGGCATAGATGTTGTTGTTAAAAACAGCAAAATAGAGGGGAGTGGTGCGCCTGTCCTCATAAAGGCAGGATCGTTCGTTGGAGAGGGTGGTGTTTACATCATAGCCAGCATCGATCAGCTCTTCCAAGATGTCATCATTGTTGCGTTCAGCTGCTAAGTGCAGGGGGCTGATACCGCTGCGCTTGATGCGGGTGCGACTGGTCACAGGGATCAGCATGGAGACAATCCTGCCAGGTGGAGAGTCAGTGAACAGCAGTGAGCTCTAGGGGATCTAGGGGATCTACAACCATACAGCAAATTGTAGCTGTATGGTTGTAACTATAAGAGAGATCCTGCTAATTTGGGTACAGGAACAACTGTCTCTGAAACCAGCGTGTGAACTTGAAACCTGTTGACAACTCCCGGTGTTCCTGCCTTGCCAAAAATGTGAGTTGCATGACCCCCTCTTTCATGGAGGAACAAGTGTTTTTGAAATTATCACCCAGTTTCTATGAGGTAATGGCAGCTACAGGGGCAGTTACGATGGAAGAGGCAACATGCCGGCACCTCACCTACCCTGTTGTAACTGTCTTAGGTGCCACAGCACAAATGGCAGACACCCAGCCAGGATCTCCCAGGCATTCTGCACCTTCATCATCGTGCTGCGGGTAGGACTGGAGGAACAGGCACATGGCCTCTGGCCTGAAGTGCCAGCAGGGAGGCTGTATCTCCCCACCTTCATTGGGATTGCTTTATTGCTCATCAGAGAAGGGTGCCAACACAAGGCATCCTTGTCTGTGACTCCTGGGTCACAGCCACAGCAAGAGGCTTGAGACCAGAAAGGAGGTGAAACCAAACCTTCCTTTGCAGGATTGAGCTAGGATGAACTACATATTTGGTTTCCAGTTATTACCCTGGATTGATCCCCATCCTGGAGGCCCTCACTGTGTGGCTTTTGGCTGTGACAAATCCATGGGGCTATCAACATCCATCCCAGATCATGGGGAGCCAAAAAGACAATTAGGAAAGGGGAGAAAAAGAAATAAAATTATTTTCCAGGCTGGTTTCCATGCTTTAGCCCAGGGAGAAAAAATGTACAGCCAAGTCCTAAACCCCAGTAATCAGGGATTGCTATTGGAAAGTGTGATATGGCCTTAAACACAGTGACATAAATCAAGCTGTTCTCATTACGTAATGTGAAGTTCAAATATATGATGTACAGGAGCCCCACAGTCAAGAGTCTGTGATCATTTTTATGTCTCCATAGGTGTCATTGGAGCTGCATGACCAACACCATGAGTTTAACCCTCATTTCCTGCTCATAAAGATGGGTAGTTTAGCCAAGGCACTAGGTTGATTCTGTAAATACAGACAAGTCACCTTAAGCTACTTCCAGAAAGAGACTAGGGACAATCCAACTTGAGTCTGCCTACTGTCTTGGGAGATGCTCATGCTCCGTCTATAATGCCTGTGGAAAGAGGGATATCTAAAAAAGGAACCTGTGGTAGCCAGCAAACTAAGCACACCTTTTACTCCTCTTTTTCCCTTGCAGACTCCTCTATCTAGCAGTCAATAGCTCTTCTAACACACAAACATGCAAATCTCAGTTTGCTACCATGTAGTGTGTCTCCTTTAAAATGCTGCGTATCTTCAGCTTGACTGCAATGGCTGGTCCCAACACTGGGCCCTCAAATATATATTTGCATAATGAACTAAGCCATATATAAGCACTAGTCTCAGGAAAACCTTTGTCTGTGATGCACTGGGTGATCCTGTGAAAGACTGAGCCTCCAACGCTCCCAGGAGCTGAAATAAGAGTTGAAGAGGCATAACACTTTACAGGATTATGTTCCTATTTACATGATGGACTGTTGATGTCTCCAGGTTACTTCTACATCTCATTTTTAAACAAAAAGACTTTTTCAATTACGTAAATATCTTGGGAAATTAAGTACAGGGTTTTTTTTTTTTTTTTTTTTTTTTTTTTTCTCCAAGCAGCCTCACTAATGTGTCCTGTGACACAAGGGAGCAGGAGGTTTGGGTGCTGGTGAGCTGGCAACTTCCCACCATTAGCCAAAGTTCTGTAAGAGTCATAATAACAAAAAGGGCACAGAGCACTGTGAGGACACCATGCCAAGTGCCAGCATTAGTCACCCATGATCAACTGTTTTGAAGATTTAAGGGTCTGTTTTGTTCTTTCCCTCCAGCACATGTGCTTCAGCCAGCTCTTCACATCTGAGTTAAAGAGGCACTGCACCATTTCTGTCTGCAAGGGGAGCTGAACCTCACTGCAGGGGTGCCACACTGAGGCTCTGCATCCAAATGCTGCGGTGTCCCAGACTTCAGTATGCTCCCTGTACCCCAGATTTATTTTGGGAGGAAAAGCAGGAAGCATCAAATTTGTATCAGAATTTAATTTTATAGCTTGAACCTGTCTGTCTTCCTCATCCTCCAAAGTGAGTTCGTTTAGTAATATGGTGCCTCCACCTCTGCAGTCTTTCCTGTCTGTCTAGAGGGAGAAGGCAGCTCAAGTGAAGGCAGCGAAGGCCAGACAAGCCAAAGCACATCCCACGTCCATCACAGGGCTGAGCTTCATGTACAGTTTTGAAATAGTGCCGAGTTTCCCCTCATCCCTGACACTTACTTCTGCGATTTCTATTTATTAGAAAGTATATGGAGGAGGCAGAGCATCCTTAGTATGAGTGTGCCAAGAGTTTACTGACTGGCATTTATTTAATAAATCCTCCCACACTTCACAAACTCTTCCCTTCTCAGCATCTCAATTCCGAGGGGGAAGGAGTTAAATGACTGCTTGTGATTGTCCTACAGCTGATGAGATGACCCTTATGAATTTCAGGTCAGTATTGACAAGGTGTCACTTAAAATAAACAAACACCAAGCAACAAGAGTTGACGGTTGAGCCTTGGGACCATATTCTTGGCTTTTTGATGGTAGGGAGCCTTCATGCTCTGGCAAAAAGTTGAAGCATGGAATTCCTGCAGAATTACGTATTAAATCTGCAGGAATACAAAGAGAGGTCACTGTGAAGGGTGTTATTTTACTGAATACCAAAGGAATTAAGAATGATCAGCCAATTGGGCTAAAGCTTTGTCATTTAGATAAATATTTATAAGAGAATATCTTTTTCTTTTTTCTTTCTTTTGCACTTAGTTTGCAGCAGTTGTGCACAAAAATTTGTGCTCAGTCTTTTAGAAGTGAAGGAACTCAGAGTTTGGGCTGAATTCTGGTCTCATTTATGCTGGTGGTTGTTGGGAATAATAGATATGAAATCTGATTGAGGCCCTTTCTTTTATAACATGGGGATGGACTCAGGTTGCAGAGTTTCCATGTAAATGTCTTTTCAGGTCGGGGTGTGGAACTGTAGAGGGGAGGAAAACATTCAGAGAGCTGGTCCAGACTCTATATACAAATTGGATTCAGACCAACTTACTGTACTTTCAGATTAACTTTTTTGAAAGTGAGCAACTGGAGCTGGGCTCTGTCTCTGGCACATTTCTCATTAAAAATGTGTTTATTTTCAAGAAAATGTCTCTGTAACTCAAACCCCAAAGAAAATTTTGAATCATGCCTGCATTAGTGTATGCAGGGTATTCATGTACATGCTGTAAGCATATAAACCCATTACATAAATTCACACTGGGCTGCCCTCTACAATACAGAGCTTGCACAAAGAAGCAGTCCTACCTACTCCAACTACAGAAAATTAATATCCTCGGGTCTATCAAACTGATTTGAGAAGCTTAATTAGCAGACCTAAATGCCAGCATAAAAGATGCTGTGGGAAGGTGTAGTGCTGTTAAAAGTTTTCGTTCCTCAGACATTGTGAAATATGTAAGAATCTGCTCTAGCCCTTGTTTGTAAAGATAGCTTTACTATCCAGAAACAGTCTTTGCAGTTGGATATACTCTCTCCTTTGACTATTGCTGATACAAACTATCGCCTATTCTGATAGAAACTGTGATAGTCAGAAGCATCCACTACAGTCACCAAAAGGGTCTGTCACTGCAAGACATGACTGTGGTTTGCAAAAATAGCTATGGGCCACTGGCCCTTCCAGCAGCAAGGGGTTAAAGGCAGGAGCTGAAACTTGCCCTAGGATCAGAAATAAATGCTGAGGAGTTCGGGCTCAGAAACATGCTGCAATGTCCCATGTCTTGAAAGAGCTAGGTAAACATGATTTACATGACAGTGCATCAATCCCATCCCTAACAGCATCTTCTAAACTGATATCCTTTATCACAGGCTTAGTAGAGTTTCTCCCTCTCCTATAAACACCTCTACTTCAAAGGACTGGTAAATCTACCCAATTCCTGGTTTATTTTTTTCCATTAGTTACTTTTCTCACCATTTAAAGAATGTGCTCAGCTCTATCCCAAACACATTTCATTTCAGAAACAAACCACTGGATCTTTTTATGCATTTGTCTGTTACATTTAAGAGTCATTTAATCACTCACGAATAAAGTATATTTTCCAGACCATGAGTAATTCTTGTACTTCTTTTCTGAAGCCTTTCCAATTTCCTGAAAGGTTTCTGAAAGGGAGGATATCAGAACCGGACACCATATTCTAGCAACAATCTCACTAATGCCCTAGAGATTCACTTAACCACTTCCCGCTGTCAGCATCTGAGTTATTGTTAATAAAACCTGAACACACTAGAGATGAATGCAGCATGTTCTGCTTGTGCACAAGAATCACAATGGGCTCATGTAGGAAAATGATTGCAAACTGTGCTGCAACAGCTATTGAGGACTAACGCCCCCTTGCCCCCCTCCCCCCGATGCTTTTTTATTCTATCGCAAGCCTATTTAGTGGAGCTCAGTTTAATCTACTTCCAAGATACATGAGGTTATTTAGCTGTAATAGGTGATATCTCAGCAAGGCTAAAGGA